AATGGGGAAGTGAGAGAAATTCAGGCACTCTTCCCTCTTTGGGATAGAAATTGCTTGGTATAGGACTTCTTAGTTTTCTTTTTCATTTCTTGTTTTGGCTGACCTTAATTTAAGTCAAAATATTTTTGGTTTGTTGGGTTTTTTTAAGTAAGGGGTGTGCCACTGAGTCTCATTCTAATAAGGAAAGTTTTTTGCAGAATATCTTAAGGATGGGTCACATTCTAGATTTGCTTGATCTGTTCTGGAAACTCCCAAATCTGGATCTGTCACCAAATTCCCTTGATGCAGAGTACTTTGTCTAAGCTTTTATATGAGATGTCCTACCCTTTGTGATGAACAGCATTCAAGAGGAACACACATTGACCAAACTGCAGTCTATCTGTGGCTCTATTGGCTTTGAAAAGTAGCACCAATGCCTTAAACTGGAGTTTGAAGTGGAGGAGGAGCCAATGGAGGTATACGGGTATATTGTGCTACCTCCTTTTGTGAATTTGGGTTACTAAGGATGGGTGGGAGTGCATATGCAGGTGAGTATAGGACAGTGTTTTGGGACTGACCATGGAGGGTGGGTTTTTAGCTTTTGTCTTGTTCAGCTGGCGTCTGTTTCAAGTTGGCATATAAGCGAGTGTTCAGAGCAGCTGGTTGAATTTCAGCTGCTCTTAAGAGATTGAAATACCACTAATCCATGCAGTGAGTGGTGTTTGGGATTAAGACTTTATTTCATAGTATTATAGGTTAGAAAGGGTGGCAGACTTAATTAACCCTTGGACATCTGGAGGCTGTACAAGGTAAGTGAACAGATGTGGCAGCATGCAGTAGTGTGAGGCCCCAGATTGGGATTGGAGACCTGGGTTCTTTTCCCAGCTTGGCTCTTCATCTACTGTATGACCTTTGTCCAGCTCTGATATTATTGGCAATAATAGGGTTAATAATACTAATACTTGACCTGTTCAGCTTGCACTTGCACAGCTTGGAACTTTTTCATTAGAGTCCTTGTGCCAACTTGGGAATCCATTACTCAGAGTTATTTTTTAGGCCTCAACCCAGTGGAGCGAGTATCTCATTCAGTCTTGTCATCAGCGATGAAGCGAAACCAGACTCGGTGCATTATTTTCATTGCTCTGAAGTGCAGCTTTCTAGAATTCCTCCATTCTGGCATGAGGAAAGCTAAGGCACTCTTTCACTTTTTAAAGTGGTGAGCTATCTAAAGCACTAGTCCAAGTGAGGATAGCTAGGGTCTGATGCTGATGAGCTGGGGCCTAGCATAGAAAATTGAACCATTGATGGGGAAGAACTTGTACTTTCTGCTGATTTAGCAGACTAATAGCTGTACTGACAGCTATTTCGAGATGCCCAATATAATATGGTATATAATACAAGAATATAGAGAGGTCTTGCTAGAGAGGAAGTGGTGGCATGCAGAATCCCTTCTGAGTCCATGCCACAAAGATTCTTCTGGATAGTCTGTTTTTTCCCTTCGGAGACCAGAACAATTGTCTCATTGCTTCCATAATCTCTTGTACCTTGAACTTTCAAGAAACATTTGGACGCTTATCTTTCTGGGATCCTTTGACCCTAAATGACTTCCTGCCCCTTGGGCAGGGGGCTGGAACCAATGATCTTATGAGGGCACTAATGTCTATGAACTCTTAGTCGCTGCTAATTTCTTCAAGTTCATAATCAAAGAACATGCTAAATGAACCTTGTGGCTTGTGCCCTCTGGGAATGTAGTTCCAAGTGTACTTTCGTGACAGCGAGAAGATGCTTATCCCATCGTTTCTAATTGACAGCTGAGCAGAAATGTATGTCTTAGTAAGCACCACCCCTGTATTTGAATGCCACCAGCCTCTGATGAGGTAGGGCAGCACTTTCAGATCAGTATAGGGGACTGAACCTCAAAACTTAACTGACTTTGCCAAAGATGCATTGGGCGGAGCAAGGACTAGACTCCTGACCATCCAATGCCCAAACCAAGTTCCTAACCATGGGACCATCCTTCCTTATCTGTCTGTTCCCTGTGGCATCTCCTTACTGGTCATTGACTGGGAACGTGGGAAGCTATTGTGTGCTCTGCACAGATGGGGAATAACAACTCATTTAATACTTGATCTAGAGGTCTTTTACCTGATGGATGTTTTGTGAAGAGAAGTGCCTCCCTTTCTGAAGAGTGTAGGAGAGGTCTATCATTGGGGCAGAACTTTGCTCTACAATCTAACCCTGAAAAGCAGAATAAAAAAATAACAAGATGTTCTGGTGATCACTTTAAACTAGTCCCTTTGCTTTTGAGACCCCCAGTCTTACAGAGCAGTTGCTCTGATCCAGAGTTGGCAACTAAATTGAGCTGTTCTGGTGCCCGGGGAAGGAGGGGGCAGGGCAGTGGTGATTACCCCCCCCCCAACATTTGGCCCTGCACCCACTACTAGGGGTGCCAGATGAAGCAGGCAGGGTCTCCATGGAGACTGTCCTGGGACCCTGTGGCAGGTTGTGCTCAGCCAGGCGGTTTGCATGCGCCATGGGGCAGGCAGGAAGTGGCATCTGGGAGTGGGATGGGTGGAGGGGGCTGGGACTGTGGGGCGTTTATCCACCTGGCTGAGTGTTCCCTGTCTGTAGGGTCCTGGGCCAGTGTCTATGGAGAGCCAGCCTACCCACTCCATCTAGCACCTCAGGCAGTAGGTGCAGGGCAGACTCTGGCCAGGCAGTGAGGATGGGTCTGGTGGCAGTGGAAGCTGGGCAGAATAAGCTGCTTGGGGGGTTGCTGGGAGTCTGAGTCCTGCTGTGCTGCCTCTGCTCCACTGTGTGCCTGGGGGTGATGGGACTGGCTACATGTGCCAGTGTCCCCTGCACCTGTGCTGGATGGGGCTGAGGGACCTGCTGTGGACTGGATCAAATCCCTTGGCTGGATGGATTTTTCCCACCCCATCTCTAATCCATGGAGAAAGGGCCAGGTCCATGTGTTCCATTAGCTAACTTCTCAGGGCTGTACTTGGCTGCTAAATGATTCTCTGATAATGGTTGTTTTGAGGTCATCTTGTTGCTGCCCTTTTTTTCTCCTGCCAAGTATGGCTAACCCTTAGAGTCTAATAGCTGTATATGCCTAAATGTTGAGTTGTTGGCAGACTCCTTCTAGCTTCCATAAATGCTGGAGCCCTGGGCCAGGGGCACTAGCCATAGTCTTGTGCTTAAGAGCCTTAAGTGGCAGTAGATGGAGGCATCCACCCAAGCCTATTTATGAGCTCCCTGTCAGCCTCAGTCTTTCCTCTTTGGATAGTTGGGTGTCTCTTCCCAAATCTGGTACGGTTATTTAGCAGATAGGTCTGTCTTAGCAGTGGGAAGAATGCTCAATAAGAGGGTGAACACCACTTTAGTAGAGCCACAAGGAAGTAAGGGGCAGCAACACAACACTTTGCTAAGAGGGCTTGGGTTCTTGGAGGGGTTTCCATGCAGTTGGGCTTTGCAGTTAACTGACTATTGACTTTTCTGAAATTGGGTCAGACTCCTAGTGCAGTTGATCAGGTGTGCTTCCTTGAGTCTTGTCCTCAAAGGTTTTCTTCATTGGGAGGGCTGGAAATGTAGTTCATCAGATGAGATCAGAGATCTGTCTGACTGCAGTGCTGGTTCTGTTCCCTACAGTATCCCTAGATGCCATTCTGAAATCTGGTACTGTTGTTGACCCTGATGAAAACCCAGGAAGCCAGGCACCAACTAGCCATGTTTCAATCCAGTTAGAAAAAATCAAACCAGCTTGCGTGTTCCTGAAGAGGATTTTGAATGTTTGTGCACACCCACATGCTCATGTATGTGGTGGTCTCTCTGCTCTTGTGTACATTGAGCACAACAATAGGACTGGATTTCAGTGGATGAAGGAAGACTACAGGGCAGAAGCCACCAGATGTTAAAGGAAAATTCAAACAATCTGTCTAAAGCAAATTAAAATCTCATCTGGGCTTAGTCTTTGGCTGATAGGAATTGAAGCCAAGATGGTTACTTGCTTATGTTTTAAGGGGGGCCTTGGAGGGATGAAAGAATAGGACCTAGCTGGAGTGTCAGCCATCTTAATGGGTGGAGGAGCCTGATCTCAATTTTTTTTAAGGTCACAAATTGACTGGGAGGCCTCTACCCTAGACTTTAATGGCTGCTTGTGTGCTGAGACTGAGGGGCCTTGGCAGAGTTGAGATGGAACCAGAATACTGGGGACAGGATCTGGGAGAGGGGAGAGATGGTGAGGTAGGGTATAGCTTATGGGAGCAAATGCAAGAACTGTTTCTGTCCTGCTGTCTGTTCAATGAGTGTTTTATAAGGAAAATGCATGCAGGGGCATAGGGCCTGGGTGCAGCCTGCTCTCAGGGGCTGGTGCCTTGCTGCAGAGCGTGGGAACAGGAGAGAGGCATCTGGCAGAGAGGCTAAGCTAGTCCTTGCATGCCTTCTCTGACTCTATCAGTTTCTAAAATGTCTTTAGCAGGCTTGCTGGGACTCGGTGCGTCTGAGGTGGGTGGAGGAGGGAGCCTGCCTCTTCACTCTGGTGCAGGTTTCTCAGGAGAGTGGGGGTCTGTGTTCCTTCCTGTTACATTTGAGGCAGCCTGTAAAGGGCTGACTTAGCCAGTTGAGCTAGCAGGAATGCATCTGAATGGCTCTGAGGGGCTTTATGGACAGCTGTAATGGAGGCTGGCAAGCTCTAGAACTGGGGAGCAGGAACAGGGGCTAGTTTGAGCAATTTTTGCAGGAGAGGTGTTGATTTCAGTGTATATGCAAAACTAGCATGAGTGAACTTCTACTTGGAGTCATTCTTTTCTACCAAGACTGTCCATATCCTTTCGAGATGATATGGGGGATTGGTGGAAACAATGCTGAAAAGCCATCGAATGGCTCAGAGTTGTCTCCCATAATTCCCCAGCAGTGTCAAATCCTGACCCATCCCATATTGCCTGTCCCATCCCTCTTTTCCTTTGTTTTAGTCACTATTTTTTTTCTTTACCCCCTTTCCCTTCCCACTATCTCTACAGCACTCTTCCTTCCTGCTGCTTCACTGGTGGTGGCCGGGCTGCTTCTCCCATGATTCTTTGCATCTAGACGTGGCTGCACTGTGCCTTAGTCAATCAGATCAACTCTTCTTTAACAGGTGTGTATGGAAATTATTTTTTTTACATTTTAATGTTTGTGATTTTTCCTTTTTTTTTTTTTTTTTTTTTTTTCTTTTTTTTTTTTTTTTTTTTTAATTTCCTGTTTTAACTATTTGTAATTCTCTGCAAGCACAGCAGGTGAGGCAAGAGGATATTCTGCCTTTTGGGACGTGAGATGAAAGACCAGTTGTACAGGTCCAGAGGAGCATTGTGGGTTCAGCAGGTTCAGATTCCAGTCATAAACTTTATGGAGTTGGGATGGGTGCCCAAGGAGGAACTGAAAGTGAATCCCAGGGGCAGTGTAACAGACTGCATTTCCCCTATGGGGGCCCCTGCTTCATTGGTTCTTCCTATTGGGGAATGATTGCATCTAGGACTGAATACAATGGGAATGGATGACGTTATCCTGGTCAGAGTGCCCAGGGAATTGTCTGGCTGTATCAGAGAGTACAAAGAATGGTGCAGGAGCCGGTCTGATTGGGTGCCTGTCAAAATACTTCCCACCCTAGTTCCTTGAGCAGCTCTGGCTGATGAAGGATCTTGTCACTGCTCTATTTGACTTCTACTACCCCAGGGTTGTTAAGAGACAGAAGAGGGGAGTTGTATTTGTGGCCTTTCCCATTTGTACTCTGGGAGTCAGCTTCTAAGCAGTGCTGTCTCTGGAGGCTCCCTTTCAGAAAAAGAAGCTTGGAGAGAGAACTTCCATGTACTGCTTTCAGGTTCAGGATTGTCCTTTACTGCTTGGAATTACGCTATGCTCTTGCTAGGAGCATTTGTTCCTCTAGCGTGAGGATGTACTTCTCCATTAGGGTGGAAAATAGAAACGTCAGTAAGTGAGGGTGGCTGTGGGGATACCAGATATTCTCCTCAAGCAAAAATGATCTTTTGTCTCCCATCCTTCCTGAAGATCCAGGGCCACACCTTTTGTAGGGAGGTAGCCAGGGCAGGGAATGGGAGAACGAATGGCTCTTCGTGTTGGGGACGCTAGCTCTCCGACAACTGCAAGCCCGTAAAGATGCAGCTATTACTGTCTGGCTTCTGTAAGCCAGTCGTTTCTCTGGTGGAATGGGCTTTCTTCATAGTGACAATTGTACTTGCCTTGCTGACTCTCTTGTTAATAGTTTCTGCAGCCGGAAGGAGCTTGAGAGAATGCCCTTATCCTTCAGGTGATCCCTGTAGGGGAAGCTAAAGGGACTCTAAGATTGTACAGGAGGTCTTGGGCATATTGGGTGGGGATTGCTTCTCTTGGGATTGTTGCTTCTTCAAGGTGGGGAAGACAGATCAATCGGTTCCATCAAAGATCTCATCCCTGGGGGCAGGCCCATTTTGAAGCTTGGATTGGGGGAGCCCCCTTGTAGTGGGGAAGATGCCTCTGCCATGCAGGCCAGCTGCATCAGGCCAGTGGCTCTTGTCTCTGGGGTTGAGTGCTAGGTTGGGGCAGAATTGATGCTTATTCTTTCAGTGCTAAAATAATCTGATCTTTCGGAATCTGTCTCCTGACCACTGATATCTTCTCTCCTTCCTTCCTTCTTTCCTTCCTTCCCCTTCCCTCCTTGGCCCCAACTGTGTGTGGTGAAGTGAGGGGTACTTCCCCTCTTGTTTTTTCTTCCCCTCTGATTGACACCAGTTTCCCTCACACACATACCCTGTGCCCTACGCCCACCCCCTGTGCGGGGTCCTCATCATGGACGACTCAGAAGTGGAGTCGACTGCCAGCATCCTGGCCTCTGTCAAGGAACAGGAGGCACAGTTTGAGAAGCTGACCCGGGCGCTGGAGGAGGAGCGGCGTCATGTCTCAGCACAGCTGGAGCGCGTCCGGGTCTCCCCACATGATGCCAGCCAGACGATGGCCAACGGTACCCTCACCCGTCGGCATCAGGTAAAACCCCCTCAAAAGAGGTGGGCATGCAGGACTCCAGAGCCGTTTTCTCTGCCTCATTGTGGACAGTAATGGACACTGGAGCTTCTCTGGGCTCCTAGGAGAGTTGGCCTGTAGTGAAGTGGCGCTCCTCACCCTCCCAGCTTGCTTTACAGAGCAGCTGTTTCCCCAGCTAACTGATACAAGTACCTGTTGTAACTTGTCGTTTGCACTGCAGATCTGGAGGATTTTTGTTGTGTCAAAGGCCCCATAAGGCATCTGGTCATAAGAGGACTGGTGTGTGGTAAGAGAATGATCAATTAGGTAGGAAGGTACTGGTTGATCTCTGTGGTACTGGAGACTCCTAAAGCAGATTGGGTAGAGATGCAATCCTGGGCAGAAATGTGTGTATGGGGGAGAAGGAGAGAGGGCAGTTGGGGAGCTCAGAGGACTGAGCCCTCCCCTGTGCACGTGTACCTAGAATAGCTTCACTTTGAAATGCTCATAAATACTATCAGGTTTTTTAGGATTATTTTTGGAGCACTTCTGCCACTTCTGGAGTGCTTTGTAGAGTACTTACAGCTGTCCACTTGACGTTTTAAGTATTTGAGAGGCGTTTTAAGTGCTTTAAATGCTACCTCTGTTCATGCCCTTGGTGTTCTGGCATTGTAACCTGGCAGTGACACCTGAATTACTTTGTGTATGCTGCGTTATGGTAGGAAGAGTTCAAAGCCACACGTAGGAACATAAACAGCTGTGAGGTAGCAAGCCCTGCGCAGAAGCTTAGCTAGAGCCCAATCTGACCAGACTTGGCATAGTCTGAGGCACTTTGGTCACATCCTGGTGATTATGTGAGCACCTTGGCACTTTGATTTGTATATGTTCTTTTCATGCCTGTAAGAGATGGGGCTGCACCTTAAATTTTGTAGATCAAGAACTGAGACCCAGAGTTCCAGAGACATGGGTTTAATTCCCTGCTCTCCTACAATGCCCTATAACTAGGCAGGCTCCTGAAGTCCTGGTTTAGCATTTGAACCGCTGGATAGCTGGCCGGGACAGGGCAAATGCCAAAGGAAGCGGAGGAGAACTAGTTCTATATTTACATGGTTTTCAGTGAACTTTCTGCTAAAGTGACTCTGGTTCTGTTTCTCACTCTGCTCTTTGGGTATCCTAAACTCAAGACCCTTTGTGCCCCCCTCAGTGGCCAGATTACAATGGCAGGAGGCATGCTGTGTGCAGGGTGGGGTTTAGCTCTGGCTGTGGATACTAGTTCTACTTGAGAAAATTTGGAGGTGCTGTTTGAGGGTAAGAGTTTTGCAGGGAATATGTGGGAGTAAAGTTAGCTTCTAAGTCATCAGAAGGAGCGAGAACCCATAGTACAGTGGTCTGCTGCTTGAAACTATTCATGGTGTTCCCTCTAATTCTTCTGAGATGCTGAAATGTCTTATGACCTATGGCTCCCATATCAAAGAAAGATGTAAAAATCCTGAGGAATGGATCCGTCTATGGCATGACTGTTCAGCACCTACCTCAAGGGCACTTGCTTCCTTTATGTAAGGGAGTAAGAGCATAGGGTATGTGGAATCTCTTTGGAGTCAATGCCGGCACACTTCTAGGGCCTTGCAACTGGCTCCTGCAACATTTGGGCCTGACTAGGGTGAGAAGGGCATTTGAAACTTGAGTAGCCTTTGCCATGGGGGCATCTGACCCATCTTACTTGGACAGCAGGATAATGGTGTAGCTAGCTTCATGGGCATGCTGTTACAACTTGTGTTTCAGAACGGCCGCTTCCTGGGCGATGCTGACCTGGAGAGGCAGAAATTTCCAGATCTGAAACTTAACGGACCCCAGGTAAAGGAATGGTGCGAGAGGGTGTTATCTGCTCTTGGATAATGGCAAAATCTGTGTTCAGGGTTCCTGTGGCACTTCCCCTCCAGAAAGGACAGGGACAAGCCTAGTGAGGTGGTGGGTGCAAGGTTTTCCCACTACCTGTTCTACATATTCTTTCCCCTCTCTCTTCTTCTGCTTGCTTCCCTTCATTACTGCAGATTTGGCACTGAGGAGACAACCCCACCATTCAGCAAAAAGCCTTGTCTTGACCCCCTCCCCATAACCTCTCATCCTGTGCAGTCATTTCACTTCATTTGTAAGGAGTGTGGCCTGTGAGGATGAGGGTTGGATTCTAAAATACCTCTAAGCTGAGTGGCTTGCATAGAAGAATTGGTTCCTCCAGTACCCAGGGGCATGAAAATTGTAGGTGCCTTCCTCCCTTTTCAGGAGATGGAAACAAATGGCAATAAGTTGCTTGCATGCTTGGACACCTTGTGTGGGGAAAGATGGGGCTTTTTCCACTTTCCTGACTATGGCCTGGGTACAAGAGCTAGGTCTCCTCTGTCGGTGTGGGAGGTGGAGTTGTTTCATCTGGGCTTAGTTGATCCATCTTTCCTTTTTGCCACAGGACCACAGCCATCTCTTATACAGCACTATCCCAAGGATGCAGGATCCAGGCCAGATCGTGGAGGAGACTTATACCATGGAAGAGGACCCAGAGGGTGCCATGTCAGTTGTCTCTGTGGAAACATCAGATGATGGGACTACCCGGCGCACAGAAACCACGGTGAGCAATGAGGCAGGATGACATTGAGTGTGTTGGAAGACTCTTGCTTTTTTGGCGCTTTTGTTTTCCTAAAAGGTGCATGTGCGTGCACACACATATTGGTGGGGGGAGGGGGGTTGTACTCTAAGCTGTCTTTGTTCTTCTCTGGTGATAGCAACTGAAACCAGGCATGAGGCCAGGAGGCTGAGATTTGGAGCATGGGTAGGCAAAATACAGCCTGGAGGCCAACTGATTGGATCTGGCCTGCAGGTGGGCGTCCATTAGTTGACTCTATTTGGCCCATGACTCCTCACACAGTGCTTCTCATGGGGCCAAGACCCTCCCGCTCCTGCCTGGGGCAGCCTGTGGTACGTTCCTATGTGCCCTGGTCCTGGCCAATGCATGCAACTTTGTGGTGGGACTGCTCCCAGTTTGGCTGCAGCTGCCTGGGTACTGCTTGGCTCTCCCCGCCTCCAGTGGCTCCTCCTGGCATTGCTGCACTGGTCCAGGTAGTGTGGGGATGTGTGCCGGGCACCACGTGTCCGGTCAGGCTGGGTGGGTCGGGGGAAGCTGCAGCCAGGTGGCTTCTGCCCCAGCATGCAGGGCTCCAGCTTTTGGCTGCCTTCTACCCACTCCACCTGCCTGCAGATGGCTGTTCATTGCTCTGGGTGGAAAGTGGCCAAGAGCTGGAGCCCAGCATGTTGGAGCAGGAACTGCCTGGCTGCAGCTTGCCCACTAGCTGGGTGTGTGGTGCCCAGCACATGTCTCCACACCTTCCCTACATAACCTGCTGCCTGGAGTCGTGCAGTAGGGGCTGGAGGTGAGGAGAGCCATGCAGTAGATGGGCAGCTGCAGCAGCAGACCTGTTGGGAAGGTGTGCGTGTTGGGTAGGCTGGGGTGGTGCTGTTGGACTGGTGCAGGCAGGAGCATGGCACAGGCTGCCCTGGGTGGCAGTGGTTGGGGCTCAGTGCCATCCACAGGCTGGATGAAGGTCAGGGCAGGTGGGGGTGGACTGCACTGCACTGTCCAGGTGAGCTCTGCATGTGCTGCCTGCCCCCCACCACCTTTGCCCAGCTCCTTGGACTGTGCAGGCAGCGTGCCACACGTGCATATCCCCCTCTAATGCAGTTGCCTCTGTATACACTACTCAAACAAAAAGCAGAACAAACTTGCAGATTTGGAAGACAAGTTCACGGATGACACCAAGCTAGGAGGTGTAGCAGATATGCTGGAGGGTAGGGTTAGCATTCAGAGTGACCTAGACAAATTGGAGGATTAGGCCAAAAGAAATCTCATGAGGTTCAACAAGGACAAGTGCAAAGTCCTGCCCTTAGCAATGCATCGGATTCTTCCATGGTACAGGCTTGGGGCTGACTGGCTAGGTAGCAGCCTTGTAGAAAAGGATGTGGGGGTTACAGTGGACAATAAGCTGAATATGAGTCAGCAGTGTGCCCTTGTTGCTAAGGAGGCTAACAACATACTGGGCTACATTAATTGGATTGTTGCCTGCAAACTGAGGGAAGTGATTATTCCACTATATTCTGCACTGGTGAGGCCACATCTGGAGTACTGTGTCCAGTTGCCTGCCCCCGCTCCCCCCCCCTCCCCCGACAGGATGAGTCAAGTTGGGGAGAGTCCAGCAGAGGGCAGTGAAAATGGTTTGGGAGCTGGGGCACATGACTTGTGAGGAGAGGCTGAGGGAACTGGGTCTGCAGAAGAGAAGGCTGGGGGAAGGGGGGTTGATAGTAACCTTTTAATTACCTAAAGGGTAGTTCCGAAGAGGATGGAGTGTTCTCTGGGGTGACAGGTGACAGAACAAGGAACAATGGTCTCAAGTTGCAGCAAGGGAGATTTAGGTTGGATATTAGGAAAGACTTGCCCACCCCTGGATTGGAGGAAATGCTGAGGGAGCCTGGGACTAGGATGGCAGGGGATGCATAATTTGGGAATGATGAGGATCAGCAGGATGCAATCATAAGTTGAGAACATTGTGTTGACCATGTCTCCAGGTAAAGAAAGTAGTGAAGACTGTGACCACAAGGACAGTACAGCAGGTTCCTGTTGGGCCAGATGGGTTACCTCTGGAGGGTTCACCTGTCACCAATAACTACGTCCAGACAATGGACAGGAACTTCCGTAAAAATGGCAACAGTGGACCTGGCAGCTACATAAGCCAGGCTGGCACTGCCACGCTCCCTCGCAACTACCACTACCCAGATGGCTACAGCCGCCCTTATGATGATGGCTACCCTGGCAGTGATCACAACTATGGCAGTCTGTCCCGCGTGACTCGAATTGATGAACGTTACCGTCCCTCCATGGATGGTTACCGGGCCCCTAGCCGGCAGGACGTCTATGGTCCTCAACCACAGGTGCGAGTAGGGGGGAGCAACATGGACCTGAACCGCTTCCATGCAGAGCCTTATGGGCTAGAAGATGACCAGCGCAGCGTTGGCTATGATGACATGGATTATGGTCTGATGTCAGATTATGGCACAGCCAGGCGGGCAGGGACACCCTCGGATCCCCGGCGACGACTCAGGTATCTGTCATGCTTGGCATGCTTGAAACATAGGTCTTTTGGTTACCCTTCTGTCCCTGCCTTTGGTGCCCAATGGTGGCTGATTCAGAGGGTGGTGTGTGTTGGGGTGGCTCTTCTGTACCTGCTGAGACATGCCTGACTCTAATTATAGCTGTGAGTATTTTAATTGGTAGTAAAATTATACATTAATTGAACTTTCCTTCCTGCAGCAGCACAGGACAGCTCAGTGGGTTTTTCATTCTAAACAATACCCTCCCATTGCTTGCCTCTCTACCCTTATATTCAGTCCTTTTAAGGAAAAGACTTGCATGCTCTGATTCTCCGGGCCCCTTGGTTGTTCTCTTTGGCACTGTCTGATAGCCCCTTCAAACTGGTAGGGCAATCTCCTTTTGTAACAGCCAGCCCATTAGGTGGAACAAAGGATTTATGGCAAAGTTTGCATCATGACTCATCCTACTTTGTAATGACATCATAACTGCTGTTCTTTTCATGGTTATGCAAAGAGATGGGCCTCATCTTGAAGTGGCATTGTCTTCAACTTTCAACTACCACTGAACTGGAGATGCAGGATGTGCCTGTAGAAATAGAGACTTGCAGGGGAGGCTTAGGCTGAATGAGGATGGGTCACTAGGTTGGTGTATCCCACAAACTACCAGAAGGATACAGCCCCTTGAAGTACTTTGTAGCAGGATGGGCAGCTGTCAAACCTGTTTAAAGACAGCAGGGCTTTTTTTAACTTGGATGGTTCAGTCATTTCTCTAGTTGATTATCAGAGTGATTACTTGATGGGAGGAGCAGCCTACCAGATACCAGAAAAATATGTAGTGGTGCTTCTTTTGTGACTTGAGACTTGGTGTCCCAGGTAAACTGCTAAAATACTGTTACGCTAACTAAGAACAAATTAAGCTGCTATTTTGAGGAGGGGGATTTAAGATCTTTGTCCCTTCTTGCTTAACAGTTTAACTGAATGTAGAATTTCACAGAGTTGAGACCTGCATAGTTTTCAGCTTGGCCTGTTAAAGGGAATGAATTGTGAATTCAGAGTGGAACCGTGCCAGCACAGAGGGCTCAAACATGCAACTCCTCCCTATATTCATGATGTGTGCGTGTCTTTTTGTTTGCCTGTCCAGGCTGAGAAGGTGTCTGTCTCCTTGATTTTTAACCTAGTCTGAGATGCTTGGGGCTCCAGCTCTTTAAAAGAACTCTTAACTGAATGACAGTGGTCCTCTGTGTGTGCATGGTGTGTCCTTCCCCCCCCCACCCCCCCAGTGAGTTATGGATGGTTCACATGCTTGAGCTTAGTGGCAAGATGAAGCAAAGTATAAGGATGCTGCAGCTCCTCAAAGGTTCTGTCTCTGCTGGCTGTATGCTTATGCTGAATGGCCAGGAGAACAGAGTGGTGGTGGGGTACACTGGGGGAGAAGGATCAAACAGTCCCCCAACCCAGTCTCTTGGGCTCTGTTGGTGTGATCTTATCAAGTGTCATTCTGTTCATCACTTTTTAATCCTGCAGATGATGCCCAGTGGCAGTCTGTGGTCACTGGAATGACAAACTATCTGTAGAATTTACACGGCTGCACTTCCCTTGTACTCTAGTTCCCAGTCCCATGAGTGTGCTTCAGTCTCTGTACAGACTGATGAGGATCACAGAAATATGTGGAATCCAAGCATTGTTAGAGTTGACTTATCAAACTTTCTCAATTACCATCTTGTCTTTTAACCTCCTATTTTTAGGGGCTAACTGGCAATATCCCCTGAGATGTTTGTTGAGCAGTGGCCTAACTTATTTGTATGTTTGGCAGTTTGCCCTCCTTCAAAGTTTAAGAATCTCCCTACTATCTCTACTGGCTGTAATCAGTATGAAGGACATGGATCCATTTGACATGTGTTATAGCAACTTGTTAAGCATGCACAAAACTTCAAGTGCAGCGGAATGAGACGATCACTGTAAATGTGTGTTTTCTTCTGTTTCAGTAGAAGTACTTAGGCTGTCTTGAGTCTGACTGATAGACTTGATGTGAAACAAGTTGAGCTTTCCTTGTAGCAAAATTCATTTGAAAGTGGTATTATCCAGAATGCTTAAGACTTCATTGATCTGGAGTCTATACATTTTATTGACAGAGTCTCTTGACAACAGCTATGCAGCATGCCTTGCTGTTTGGATCAAATCTTGTGGTGCTAGAATGTTGGCCATCTGCATTGTTGCTGCTTGTGTGTGTGTGCACCTATAACCTGTAAGGCTAAAGAAGTATTGAGGCACCATGGTCAGTGGCTGCTGGTCACAGGATTGACATGCATCCTGAGTCACTGTTTAAGTTATCAAAGCCATAAAATCAACTCTGGCTCCAGCAGAATAGCTTTCAGATCTCTGGCTAGCCACTCCAACTGGAACGCATAGGTGATTTTTGGCCTGCACCGCTGGTTGGACCCTGACCTATCCTCTGGCTGTAAAAGCTCCATATGTAACCACAAGCTTTAATGGAGTGAGACACAGCTATGCCTATTGCACTAACAGGTTAAGAACATTTAATCAGTATGTCTTGAGGAATGTTATTGATTATGGCATGTACTCAGAGTTAGACTAGAGTACTAATCTTGGGATAAAATTCTGTTGAGTAGTAAAGGAGTTGACTGCCAGGACTCCTATAGTTGCTTCTGTTCCCAAGATTGAAATTTCTGTGCTTAAGGTCAGATGCAAAGAAGCACTGTATGATTTAACCCAGGAGTGGCCAACCTATGGTATGCTTGCCATAAGTGGCACTGACAGGCTTTGTGGGTGATGCATGACAGTGGGGAAAGGACAGGCAGCACAGTGGCAGGCAGGGCAGGGAGTAGAAAAGAATAGCAGATTGGGTAGAGCGTATAGGGCAGGAAGTCAAAAGCAAAGCAGCAGATCGGAGCAGTCAGTGGAGCAGGGGAAGGACTCAAAGTGACACCTGGAGAGTATGGGGCTGATTTTTATGGCGCACCTGCCGAAAAAGTTGGCTCCCGCTGCTTTAGCCAAATACCCTTCTAGGCAAAGCTGAACCAGAGTTTGGCATCCTATGGAGTTATGAACGTAGCCCTGGTAATGCAATTGTGTGGTGGAAGCTGTATTGTATGGATATTGCAGGTGCGGGGTATTTCAAGAAGCATCTTAGTTCAGCTTTCCTTGTTTAATATAAAATAATGTAATACACAATAAAAGCATGGTCTCCATTTGCTTGTCTGCTTTAAACTTGACTTTTAAAAAAAAAAAATTGCTCTGTTGAGGCTGAGGCCTATTTGGGAGACCAAATTCTCTTGTTTTTGTTTTGCTTTTTCCTCTTGTCTTGATTTCCACCCCCACCCCTTTTTGGAAGTGTAAATATAGCTACAAAACTGTAGGGACTGAATTGACACCTTCACATGGGTTTTGCCACTTATACATCCTGCTGCCTCATGTCTCTCTAGCAGGAGTGATGTTAAGTTTGTCATTTACTTAGAAATGCCAGCCAAAAACGGGATGTCTGTGCCAAGTACTACATACAGTCAAGATGCAATTGTCCCTATTTCACAGATGAGGTTAGCTTAGAGATGGAGCAGCTTGCCCAATGTGGCTCAAATGGGAAATATCATCTCTTCCGAATTTCCTAGGCTAGAGTGATGACTGCAAGATCATTAAATGTTTCTATGAGTCTTTTCCCGTGGCAGTGCAATCTTGTAGAACAGTAGCATCCAAGATTTGAGTTCCACTTAGTTCAGAGAGCCATTTTGCTTTTGCAAATATCCTCCACCAGTTAGCTTTCCTCAAACTTTTTTGAACTAATCTGCATTTAAGTATTCTTAAATAAAAAGGTGTTGGCAAGTTGTGCTTGTTGGTGTGTCTCATGTCACTGTGCAGTAAACCATGGCAAAAGGATGGATGAAATGTCCAGATACAGTGTCATGATTGCAATTTGTGCCCTGTATAAACTGGGTGCCCTTAAAATCCGATCCTGCTGTTGAACTGTACCCATCTAACTACTATATAATGGTCTTTACATGAAACACTTAAAACCTGGCTTAAGCTCTAGAGAATACTTATTAGGAGCAATCTGTCCCTGAGGTGAAGGTAGGCTTACCCAGCTAGTAGATCATTTTCCCCCTAATTTCTTTGGATTTAGACATTTGGCATTAACATACCCTCTAGTGGCAAGAGCGGGGAACTACTTGGGAAAGTGCAACAGCATTGTCTGCAATTGCAAGGAAATATTTAATTGGCCATGATTTCTCATGAAATCAACTTACAAAATGGGTTTTTAATAATATGCCATTTTAGAATGTCCCAATGCTTATTGAAATAGAGACTGTTAACATGGTTAGACTATGCCACTAGCAGACTAAGTGGAGGCACCAATCAGTAAAGTGAAAACATTTTATATTGAGGTTAGCATTAATTGGTATTTGTAAACTTTTTTTGTAGAATGCTACATAAAGATGTTAACTCCTATTATGTATACATGTATATTAATGCATTTAAATCTAGATTCATATAATATGGTTTTTTATTATTATTATTATTATTATTATTATTATTATTTATTTTCTGTGGCATCTGCTATTAAACTATACCATATATGCCCCTCTGCCAACTGGTGGCAAGGGGTAGGGCTGACGGGAAATGCTTGCAAAAATTGCTTTGTCTTGCTATAAGTTGAGTAGACCCCTAGTCATTGCTTCTGGATCTTGCTTATTGATAGAGAATCTGTGGAAGTCCTAACTGAGATCTGGATCCTGTCAGACCACAAGCAGTTCAACAAACTCTGCCTCTAAGAGGTTGCAGTCTTTTTATTTAACCAAGTAAAAAGTGGGGTTTGGGAGGGATGGAGAAGAAATGGCTACTATTGCCTTGGACAGTGCATCTTATTCATATATTTTCCTCTACCCAGGCAAAAGAAGCTGTTCCACCCTCTGTTGAAATACAGACTCTGAGGAGAAGGAGACTGTATATCTTGGTCAGTCTGACTCTCAGTAGACAAGTGTAGGCTTTTTGGATCCTCAACTTACTTTCTTCCCCAAGTAACTTTTGCTTATGGAAGCCAGGAACTGAAAAGGGCATGTAAAACATTTTCTTGGAAGACGGGGAACTTGGTTACAGAGTGCAGATGGCCCTGAAAAATCTTAGCCTCCAAATGCAGGTCACTTTGGCTCACCTCTTTTTGCATTAGAAGTTGGAGTTGTAGCCCTATGCTTTTTCATGGAGGCAGTGGTCTTGGTCCTTGTGCTAATTGTCCATTCTTTCCCCTGTGTAGGAGTTATGAGGATATGCTGGTGGATGATGTGGCCCCTGACCAGTACTACTGGGCCCCCCTGGCACAGCATGAACGGGGTAGCCTGGCAAGCCTGGACAGTCTGCGGAAGGGAGGCCCACCACCTGCCAATTGGCGCCAGCCAGAGCTGCCTGAAGTGATAGCTATGCTGAGTTTTCGGCTGGATGCAGTAAAGTCCAATGCAGCAGCCTACCTGCAGCACCTCTGCTACCGCAATGACAAGGTGAAGACAGAGGTGCGTAAGCTGAAGGGGATACCTGTGCTGGTGGGGCTGCTGGACCACCCCAAGAAAGAGGTGCACTATGGGGCCTGTGGGGCCCTGAAGAACATATCCTTTGGCAAAGATCAGGACAACAAGATAGCCATCAAGAACTGCGATGGTGTCCCAGCCCTGGTGAGACTGTTGCGCAAGGCCCGTGACATGGACCTCACAGAGGTCATCACAGGTAATGGAGAATGAGTGATGGGTTGGCTGGGCAAAGGAAGTGGTGGAAGGGGCGGGGCTATTTTTGGAGTGCTATGGTCTTAAGCATGTGTGCTATGTTGTAGGAACATTATGGAATCTCTCCTCCCATGACTCAATAAAGATGGCTATTGTAGACCATGCACTGCATGCTCTAACTGATGAGGTCATCATCCCGCGCTCTGGCTGGGAGAGGGAGCCCAATGAAGACTCTAAACCCCGCCACATGCAGTGGGAGTCGGTGCTCACCAACACTGCTGGCTGCCTTAGGTATGAGGGAAGTGGCTTCTGAGCTGATGTGCTTTGTGGGGAGAGGAGGGTTGCTGCTGTTTTATGGCAGCGCTTTTAGGGATGGGGTTCCTGGAATTAGGATACAGATATTTCAGGGGAGGCTTAGTGTGTGGATAACCGGAGGTTGAACTTTGAGGTTGTATTGAGGCTGGGCCTCTGGAACAGAATGGGTGGTAAGAGGGCACCTAACTCCATTTCCATGTACAGTTCTTCCTTATTCTAGATTGCCTAGCTCCCTTCCTTCCCCTCCCCCTGACTAGTCATTGCAGTGAGAAGTGGAAATGTGGATTGGCTTGCCCTCCAGCTTTCTCAAACTCAGTAAGGTGCTGCCACCATGGTCTTCTCACCCCCTGCCCCCCATCCAACTCTTCCTTCCCAGAAACGTGAGTTCTGAGCGGAGTGAGGCTCGTCGGAAGCTGCGCGAGTGTGATGGGTTGGTGGATGCCTTGATATACGTTGTCCAGTCAGAGATTGGCCAGAAAGACTCTGACAGCAAGGTAATGGTGTGGAGAGAGGAGCAACGGTGTGCCAGTTAATCTGGATGGGAGCATCTCTGCTGTTGTTCAGGGCCTCCCAGTGTGCCAGTAGGAGCAGAAATAGAATTGACCCATCTGCATGTTTTCTTTCCTAGTTGTGACTGCTCCCACTGTGCCAGCATAGATTATTTTCAAAGCTGGAAGGGAAAGGGAATGCAAAGCCATATGATGCACTGAGAGGGGTGGGGCGTGGCATTAGATTGAGTTTCAAGAGGGTTTGAAGTCTGGGCTGGCTTTTTTCTGTGCTCAGAAGCAAAGCGTTCTATGAACTAATAGAATCCAAATGTGAGTCCATGATTTGGAAGCTACAGTGTCCTTTGTGTTTGACTGCTGGCCACTAGATTTTGAGCCAAGCAGCGGAGGTGCGGTTCTAGGATTGTGAAAGATTTATGTGGGTCTATGACCTGAAGCCTGGGAAGAGGCTGCCCTGAACTGAGCTATTTCAGCCTCTTCCTGGCTCGGCTGGTACTCTAAAGTCACAATCCTAATCACTCTGTGCTGAAGAGGTTAGGGTGGGTTTAGGGCAAGCTTTTCTCACTGAAAGCACCTCCCTCCATTCATAGCTGGTGGAGAACTGTGTCTGTCTGCTCCGGAACTTATCATACCAAGTCCATCATGAGATCCCACATGCTGAGCGTTATCAGGAGACTCCCCTCAACCCCACCAATAATGCTGGGCCCCATGCTGCCAGCTGCTTTGGTACCAAGAAAGGCAAAGGTATGTCAAGGATCTTGATGCTTGCCTTAAGGGGGGGTGGGAGGAGGAGTGAAGCTCCCAGCTGTCTTGCTCTGTTGTTAAATAATCTGCTAGAGGGCTAAAATTGCTGCCTTTTTTTTTTGAGAAACCTTTTGGTAGCAGCAGCAGCTGTGCATTGTCTGCATCTCCAGCCTTTGCTTACAGGGCCTAATGCCCTGCATGGTGGGTTTAGATTGCCTTGGGTGGTGATGAGTACATCTCCACTAACTCCAGGCCTTTTCCATGTCCCTTTTTTTCCCCCCTTCCCCCCCTCCCCCCCGCTTTTCTGCCAAACCATCTGTGATCCTGTCGGCATCTCTTCTCTTCTGCCTCTTCTCTCTCCTGTCCCTCTCTCCGCTTCACCAATAGACGAGTGGTTCTCCAGAGGTGAGTCTGCCTTGGATTTTTTTTCTCCCCTTCCCCCTTTTTTCCCTTGGTTCGTTGGGTACTCTTAGCTCTCTCCTCTTCCCTGTCTTGCTAGACATGCATGCTCCCCGTATTAGCTGAAGAGGTCCATGCTTATTCCCTATAGCACTTCCCATGGGGAGAAGCTGGTAGCTCAGTGTTACATTTTTATCTTTTTTTGGGGTGTGTTCTCTGAAGCAAATGTAATGTCTAATGAGTCAAATGGTTGGATTGAAGAGGGAGAGTTAAGAGGAGGGGCGGGGGGAAGGGAGGATGGGATGTATATTAAAGCCTTGTGGTTTTTTTTTTTTTTTTTTTGAAGGCAAAAAACCTCCAGAAGATCCTGGTGCTGATACAGTGGACTTTCCCAAAAGAACAACGCCTGCAAAAGGTACAATTCTGTAGTGCGCTTGTTCTATGCTCCACTCCTCTTCAATTTTTGGAGAGCTTAACATAGACCAAATAATGCAGGGCTTCCTTGACAGAGGCACTGATATAATAAGATTAAAACATTGCTGTTGATGAGGATATCCATTTGGTTTAAGGGTGAGGATGGTGTAGTGGTGTGGGTCAGAAGCCCAAAACTCTTTAATTCTGATACCGTAGTAGTCTTTAATTTTGGGCATCTCGCTTTGCCTTTTTGCCTTGCTCTTTGCCCTATCAGAGTTTAGTTCCCCACCTTAGAGAGATTTTGAGGGTGATTTTAAACTAAGGGTAGTGAGGCACTTGGAAAGGTAACTGGAACAACATGCCCTGACATGGGGCAAGGATAAATTTGTTTTTTTTTATAGCCCTTACATCAGGTGTTCAGTAGCTGTTTACAACTACAAAATAACTTCTGTTCTGAAAAACCACCATCTTGGCAAACATCCTGTGCTCTTATGAAACTAGAAGAACCATGTGCACTTTGCCCTTCATTAAAACAAACCATGAGCATTTGAACATGGTTCTTCATGACCTAGAGCTGGTTGGAAAGGTAAAACATTTTAGCATTTAAAAACTAACTCTCATTTCATTGGAATAAGGACTATTTTTGGTTCATAGCAGTTTGGACTCATTTTAAAAACTGAGTATTTTTTTTCGTGCGTCTCTCCCAACTTTCCAGCAAGAGGAAAGGGAAACAAATGGAGAAATAGGAGTGGATGGGTTGTTTGTTTTTAAATATAAAAATCTCTGCCTTTTTAATATTTTTAAATTCAACCTTGGGCATACTCCACATGAAGGAACAACAGCCTCTGTACATTGTGTTGAGAGACTGCTCATTGCAAAGCATTTTTGCAGCATTGGTTTTACGTAGCGCTCTGTGGAGGGCCTCCTGCAATGCCAGCATTTCCAGTCTATAGTGGAAATGCCCAAAACTTGGTTTAATTCTGGCTGAACCGGTTTGAAGCCCTGCTCTGAGCTAGTACACTTGTGGATGCACATGGAATGCTGATGACATGTTTTTTGGGAGTTTGTAGGCAGGGAGAAGGCTTAAAACATTACAGCTGCTTGAACTGGTTTGTTTTCTGCCAGGTCTCTTGTGATAAGGCTTTTTAGTCATCTGTCTTCTGATACCACAAGGACTGGCTGTTAGGATAATCACTGCACCCAGCTTTGGCCTTGTATAAGGCCTGGCTTAAAAGGGCATTGACATCAAATAGATAATAAAATATCATCCTCATGAGTAATCACGTATTCTAACCATCTGCCTTGCAAAGCAAGCAACAGAAGTGCTTCAGTGCTTTTTTACCCCATTAGACTGCTGAAGATACTCTCTCAGTAAGCATAGGTGTGTCGCAGCACTATGTTGCTTTTAAGCATCCAGTGCTAAGTGGCAGTTTCCAAAAACTGTTTTTTAGCTCCTCAAACCTTCTAGTCATTAGGGTGGGGAGAGCCAGTGTGTACACTTTGGGTCTAACCTATTTGACCTTTTAAACAGGCTGTATGTTCTCTTCTTAATGCTTCAGATTGCGTTTAACTTCTTGCTTGTTTGAACTTTCTGCGTCTTGTACCTAGGTTACGAGCTCCTATTCCAGCCAGAAGTAGTCCGGATATATATCTCATTGTTGAAGGAGAGCAAGACCCCTGCCATTCTGGAGGCTTCAGCAGGTGCTATTCAGAATCTATGTGCTGGTCGCTGGACGGTGAGTCCCCCTCCCTTCTAGGAGGGTAACAGATTCTTCCTGTCTGCTTTAAAAATGCAGTGGGAACTATGCCAGATTAAGTCATGGTCACCTGATACTGACAAAAGCAATGGAAGTTCAGACACTGTTATCTTTGATTTGTCATTAGTACATCATATGGGGGAAACCCAATGAAAGTTATTTAGCAGCACAGTTGAAAAACAGTCCATGTTTCTTCACGGGTCTTTATTCTGAGTGCCAAGTTCTTGATTATCCCCTCTGTTCATGCTGTAGCTAATGCTTTCCAGGATTGATGGCTGTCAGTGCTGCCTGTAATAGCTGACTTAGGGCTATTCCAGTAAAACATTAAGAACTCGTATGCATGTGCGTGGAGGCTGCTCCAACGCACTGGAAATCCAGTGTGTTGGAGCAGACTCTATTAATCCCCCTCTCAATTAATCAAGTCTGCTGGAACACCAGGAAATGACATGCTCTGGCAGCCTTCTGCATCACGTGCATCAATGTTGCCACGTATCTCCTTGCTGAAAAATGGTGGCAGGGCCCTTTGAAATAAAACATGTTCTATGAGCTTTATAGTTTAAAATGCCCTGCCACCATTTTTTCAGTGTGCAGATGCACGGTGTTGCTGATGCATGTGATGCGCAGGTGCTTCTAATTAGCACGGCACACTAATTAAAATGCCCAGTGCTGCATCAGACAACATGTATGTATGAAAATGCCCTAGAAGTTTTGGAGAGACTGGTCTTGGCACAACCCTCCTGATGTGTCCAGTATTTCCAAGCATCTGTGCCCTAGACATCTTTCCATTATGCAGGCAGCTAGACTGTAATTGGTAAGGTAGTGATGATGGTCTTGGAGATGCTTGATGGTCAAGTCTTTGAGAAGGGCTCTCAACTAGTTCTTCCATAGGAGAACCATGTGGGTGATCAGAGGGCAAGAGAATAGGGCTTCTGAAGAGAGGCTGCGAGCCATGGGACTGTTCAGCCTGGAAAAGCATAGGCTCAGGGGTGTGCATCAGGATCCGGGGGAACGCCTGTTCACCAGAGCACCCCAAGGGATGACAAAGTTTAACGGTCACAAACTCCTCCAAGACTGTTTTAAGCTGGACATAAGGAAAAACTTCTTTGCTGTCTGAGCCCCCAAGGCCTGGAATAGATCCCCTCCAGAGGTGGTGCAACCTACTCTGGACTCTTTTTAAGAAACGTTTATATGTGTATCTTGCTGGGATCCTTTGACCCTAGCTGACTTCCTGCCCTTCAGGCAGGGGGCTAGACCTGATTGTCACATGAGGTCCCTTCTAGCCCTAATGTCTATACAGTGTTTCCCAACCCTTTTTATTTGCTGGTCCACAGTATTATTTTAAGTTTTACATATTTAAATTTTACATGGTGGGGGGGTTGCAAGGATCGGTTTGGGATGGGGCACTGGAGGACACTGCAGGAGAGGGGGCTGTGGAGGCAGTGGTGTGGGGGGACCCAGCTAGGGCTGACTGGGGAGAAGGGTCTCTGCTGCCTTCCCTAGGAGCAAGCAGTGGAGCTGCCTCCCTGTCTTAGGCATTTCCCTGCCTGCATCCCCCTGCTCCCAGCCAGGGATGGGGCTGGAGAGCCCTGTCTGGCCCAGTGTGGGCTCTGGTACCTGCTGTGCAGGCTGTGCCTTGCTGCAGCAGCCATGGCAGTGGAAGTGGGACTGGGCGCACAGCTGGCTGCCTCCCTCCTGGGGCTGCCCTGCTGCCTAGCTTTAATCCCACACATGACTGCCAGTGGCCTGGCAGCCAACCCTTCACGGACTGGTACTGGGCTGCAGCCTGGTGGTTGGGAACCTCTGGTCTATGAATCTCTTGAGAAAAGAGTATCATGATGGAGCTCTTGCAGAGAAGAAGAATTTAAGAGCTCACTACCCTGGGCCACAAGAGGGCACTTGGTGCTTAATTTGAGTGATATCAGTAGGAATCCTGGGTGACAGAGTCCAATTAAAATAGCTGTTTGTGCCCTGAAGTTGTATCTTTTTGTGCTCTGCAGACTAAGTAACAGCTTCCCACATGGCTTGCCTGTCTTCTGGAGCTTTGTACTTTCTCCATTGTTGAAGATACCTTTTAGGTATTGGTTGAGTCACTAGTGCAGGGATGGGCAATTATTTTGGGTGGAGGGCCGCTTACTGAGTTTTGGCAAGCCATCAAGGGCTGCGTGACAGGCAGCCAGGGGCAGATAAATATTAATTTTTCTAAATTTTTTTAGGGGCCCCACAGGCTGGATAGAATGGCTTGGTGGGCCACATCTGCATTTTGCCTATCTCTGCACTAGGGGCTTGATGTGACTGTCTGGATAACAGACTTGTATTTTTGGAATACAAGTCCTCTTGGATAGTTCCCATTTCAAGCTGAGATCCCATGTGGTGCCTGGCACAGTAGACCTTGAATTAGCCAAGGCCTTGGATGCTTCTATACAAATGTTGTCTGGGTTAGTTTGGCAGTGGCTGTTCTTGCAATGTATCCTATCCATGATGGTGACTAGGACCAGTTGCTTTGGAGGGACAGGCAAGAAGCATAGCTGTTCTCCAATGACCTGGTTCTACAGTTTCTTTCTGGTTCTAGATAATGATACAGAGTATGATGGATTTAGTCTGCATGCTGGTTGATCCAAGTCCCTGTAGAATAGCTTTTGCAACAGTTCTGGTTCCAAGTAGTTTGATTTATTTAAACAGATCCAAACGAAACATTTAATCAAAGACTACTTGGTATCAGTCTCTACAAACAACTGACGTTTTGCTGAAATAGCCAACTTAGGGCTCTTACAGGCAGCATTGACAGCCATCAATGCTGGAAAGCATCAGCTACAATAGGAATGGAGGAGATGAGAGCTCAACACTCGGAATAAAGACCTGGTCTTTACATGACGTTGTAATCTGTGGATATCACTACCTGCTTGTTGAAGCAAATGAGTTGGGCAGTGTTCAAATAACTGACAATTATACATTTCAATATATCACATTCTGCTTTACCTCTTCTGAATCAGAATGATGTTCATGGGTTTCTGGCCCTTGAGCCCTTAATAGAGCTTGCACTGAAATTTTTAGCCACTTTTCTGGCAACAGTATTAAAGTGGTATTTGGGCTGGCAGTGCTCCTGAACAGCTCCTCTAGCATTTCGTGTCCTTTTGATACCTGACTTACTGGATGTGGTGGTTCCTGTGATCCCACTGGATAGGATGCTTCTCCTTCCATGGGATTGTAGCAGCTTGTGGAAAAGTTAAATGGATGACGCACGCAATTTGATTGCAGCACCACAACATGGTATAGTGTGATTGAGAAGGAAGGGCTCCTGCTTGCCCCTCTCTTCTGGTAACACTGCTTTTTGCCATGTCCCTGCAGTACGGTCGGTACATCCGCTCAGCATTACGCCAAGAGAAAGGGCTTTCTGCTATTGCTGACCTGCTGAACCATGACAATGAACGTGTAGTGAAAGCAGCATCTGGGGCTCTGCGCAACTTGGCAGTGGATCCTCGGAATAAAGAGCTGATAGGTAAGGGCCATGAAGAAGCTGACTGCTTTGTAGGTGCTGGGGCATCTTCCAGAATGGGTCCATGGGGGGTGGGTAGGGGTTAAACAGGCAGAACAGTATTAAAGTCCAGATTGTTGCCAAGCATTTGACACCTATGAATGGCTGGCAGACACTCCTAGACTCTCCTTTTTTCTTACCATTTATTTGACAGCTCTGTTTTCTGCACCTTCTGACCTAAATGCTTTCCTACCTGTCCCCCAACCCAGGTAAACATGCTATCCCCAACTTAGTGAAGAACTTGCCAGGTGGGCAGCAGACGCCAGCCAAGAACCTCTCTGAGGATACCGTGGTATCGGTCCTGAACACAATCAATGAGGTCATTTTGGAGAACTTGGAGGCCGCAAAGAAACTGCGGGAGACGCAAGGCATTGAGAAGCTGGTGCTGATCAACAAATCGGGGTAGATGCACTATAAGACAGAGGGGTGTGATGGTTGGAACTGAGCAAGTACACTGGTTTACCTTTCTCTCTCTCTCTCTCTTCTCCCTCCCTCCCCACTCCCTTTTATAGGTCTCTGTGGAGAATGTTGTGAAGTGATTGAATGTTAAGTACTTTGTATCCTGTCTTTATTATCTTTGTTTTGACCTCTTTAGGAACCGTTCAGAGAGAGAAGTCCGAGCTGCGGCCCTAGTCCTGCAGACAATCTGGGGGTATAAGGAGTTGCGGAAGCCACTAGAGAAGGAAGGATGGAAAAAGTCTGACTTCCAGGTACCTTAACTGGTCGATGAATTGCCTCTAGGGTGGAGGGGATGAGTGAGCAGTGATGAGATAGCCAGGTGCCCAGTACAGAAGCCCTCCTCTGGGTCTGGTAGCTTTTTTTTTTTTTTTTTGTGAACTTTTTTACTCTGGATTTGGTTTCAGTTCTCAACTCTCTCCCTTTGCTTTTGGGCAAGCTGTGTTCAGCCTGATACAGACTAAAGATTTTTTTTTAAGATTGTTCTAAATCTTCATTTGTCTCAGTTCCTTACTTGACTGCACAAATGCATTCAAATGCCAAGGGAACTTGGTGTCTTTTTAAAAATAGTTTCCTATCAAGAAGAAAGAGTCCAGGTGGGAAGAAGTGTGTTCATCAAGCTGGTTCCTGGCATTTGCTAAATATTGAGCACCCCAGCTGAGTGAGACTGCAGAGTGGGCATTGCCACACATTCTTCTAAATGGCCTGAGCCCCCACTGAACAGATAGAGCCTTATTCTGATATTGCAGATATCTGGGAATATGGGAGTGGTGGGTTTTGGGCCCTGTGTGATCAAGGTTGTGACATTCTGCTTGGTGTGATGCATATGACAGCTCTCGCATTCCAGGTAAACCTGAGCAATGCCTCTCGGAACCAGGGAGGCAACTCGTTTGATGACAGCACCTTGCCACTCATTGACAGGAATCAAAAAGGAGGTATGCTCTTTTTTCACAGAAGCCAGTTGTTTGGGAGGGGAAGAACATCCACTTGCACCCCTTTCTTTCCCATGTTTATTGACACCTGCTGACCTCCATTATATTCAGATTTCCCATGGTCGTGCTTGTGCAGATGCCCGTGTGTTGAGAGGTGTTGGCAAACTGTGGATATGGGAGCACAAATGCTTGTTTCCAGCTAGTGTATTCCAATTATGTGTAAATGAGCTGAGTACAAACCAAATGTAGCAAAATCTCCAACTTTAGCTCTTGTTCATCCAGGGCTAAACTTGCCCCTCAGCATCTTGTGCTAGGGTTGTGAAAGTAGAACCTTTTTTGTCCAAGTGTATATAATAGTTTTGTGCTTGCTTAACTTAGTTCTTATTGGGGAATGGGGAAACTGCTAGATGTATAGCTGGCTGCCTCTGATACGCATCTCTGGGATCCTGAGTATGATCTGGCTGGTATACCTGTGTTCATCTTTGTCTAGATAAGAAATCTTCTCGGGAGGAGATCCAGATGAGCAACATGGGACCAGGTAAAAACCTTTAGCCAGCTTCCTATATAAGCTGAAATACTTGGGTATCTCTGGGAGGGGAGGATTCTGCATCTGCTTGCTTTGGTTTGTGCTGTGTGGGTGCCATAACATTGGGAAAGCAAGGAGCTTATAAGAGGTCAGGAAAGATGCTTTTATATAGTGGTGTTTGGCTTTTTATTTGTCTTCATTGAGCTTTGTGTAGGCTTTAAAGTGCCCCTTCTAGGGACTGCCTGACTTCTCTTCTTGTTGTAGACAACAATTACTCCACACTAAATGAAAGAGACCACAACAGGACATTGGACCGATCTGGAGATCTTGGCAATGTGGAACCGGTGAAGGCGGCACCCATCTCAGTAAGGCATTGCTTGCTTCTTAAACACCCTTCTGCTTCTTCTGCCTTACAGCCTTGTGGGTGGTATGGGAACCCCCTAGGGTAGAGATGGTCTGGATCATGGTAGTTGGGGTGGATGACTTGAGGGGAACGTCTGTTGGATTGTACCATGGAAGTAGCCAAGAAAAGGACTCTGGCTGCTTGTCATATGACAGTTTACTAGACTGCTTCTGTTCTGCCTCCATCTGTCAAGCTCTATCTCCAACTCTTTTCCCCCAAACCATCTTCGTTATCTTGCTTCCATCCCTGCCTACTTTCCATCTCTATACTAACAACGCATGTGTCTGCACCAGGATGAAAGTCAGGAAAACCTGTATGAGGAGGAGGATGACACTGTGGTTTATCCCCTGATGACACATCCCTGAGTCCCCTGCTCCTGTGTAAGTTAAGAAGTTGGAGGACTGATTCTGGCATTTTGGGCTAATCTGGTGTTGCTTAGCAAATCAAATCCTGCTGAGGTTGCAGCTTCATCCAAGACCTTGATCATTCACTTCCTCATGACAGTAATTACCCCTCTGATATTGCTGGGTATATGCTGAATTGCTGATTGACTGTCTGTGGTGCTAACCTGTTTTCCCTTTTCTCCACAGCAGAAGATCTAGAGTTCTCTCCTGCCTCTGCTCAGTTTGGGTTTATAATATATATATATCTCTCTCTTCGTGGTGGAATGGACTGACTTACCTTTACTTTTTTGCTGGACTTTTTGTGCCAACTATCCAGCCAAATGATTGGCCCTTTGTGCCTCTCCCTGCTGAGGTACAACTTGGTCAGGGCCCCCACACCCTTTCCTGTAGACAGCTGCACCTCCAATCCTTGGGCGCTTTTTTTTTCTTCTGAGAGCAAATCTTCCTGCAGACCAAATACTCCTGATGAATCTCCCTGGAGATACTAACTAACACAGACTCTGAAAGAACCCTTCCCTTGACATCACCTCTCCTGCTGGGCCTGCAGCACAACACAGAACTGGCTGTACTGGCACTACATTTTCCTTTAAGACACTTTTTGGTTCTGCTTGCAGTAATGGGGACAGAGGCTGTCTCCTTAGCCTCTAAAATGTGCAAACCCTTGGCAACAGAGGATGCAAGGAATACTGGAACATTCCAGGTGGTGGGGGTACCTGCGATTGATTGCAATACTTGTTTACTATGACTTACTGCATCTGGATGTCAGATCACATTTGAGGGTGGAGGTGGGGGTCTGTTTTTGAGATGAGCCACTCAGACAGGAAACATCTCTTCTCATCTAAAGGAGAAAGAGGCAGGTTGGGAGCAGTTTGTTCACTCCTTGTATGCTCTGGTGTTCTTAGGTATGCGGCCATCGTGGATGGGCAATTGTGTTTGTGTTTGTTTTTGTTCTGTGGGAGGTATTTGTGCAGGAGCCAGCCGGGGGAAGGTAGCAAGGATTGGGGGCAGATCCTGATCCCTAAAGAGGTCTGAATCTTAGAACGAGGGTGTGGGGTTTCCTTTTGAGGAGCATGTGGTTTTTTTGGCTGTTTAAAGTGTGGGAGATATCTGGGCTTATGGTGCAGGCAGGTAAAGGAGGAGAAAGAGGGTGATGGATTGGGTAGAGTGATGATAGAAAGGGAGAGCCTAACTGTAACTAACCCCATCCCCCACAAACCAGATGAATGCAAGTGTCTCTTTCTCTTGACACGTGCCTTTCTATGCCACTGTGAAATAGTTTCTTCCAACTCGTAGGCTCCATGGCCAACTAGATAAGGAGTGTTTGGACTAGGTTGTGGGGATCTTTCTGGCACAGATGAGTTGCTGTTCTTCCCTCCACTTGAGATTCTGGCCTTTAACATCTTTTTGTACTGACACTGGGTGAATAGAGGTGCTGGGATTCCCAGGAATGACTAGACCAGAGGCAATAAATAGTCACTTATCTGTACCTCCTAAATGATGGGATATGGAGAGGGGAAAGCCACAGTCAGACCCAGCAGGTAATGGGGCAGCCTGCTGCATCTGGAAGGGGTGCATGTGCATGGGCCGTTGCCTCCCTTCCTTTCAGCAGGAGAGTGGAGGTGTTATGTCCACTTCTCCCCACATGGCGAGGAGATCCCAGCCCCTCCATGCACCGTGCAACTGGAATCCTCCCTTGAGGGCCAGAAACTGGAACTGGGTTGCTGTAGACTTGTGTGCCCGGATGGGATTCTTGCTCCCTGCTTCTCCCTGCGACACATGCACTGTAAAAGGGGAAATGTGTGGGCTGGGAGACCTCTGTGCCTCTAACCCTCCTCTGCTGCATCCAGCCTCTTCCTGTTTTGGGATGGGACTGAAGTACAAATCCAGGCTTTTTTTTCCCTGGGGGGTCTAACCTTTTTTTCTTGCATATTATGTAAAACACTAATTCTTTTTGTAATTCCAGATGAACCAAAAACTCCTCCTTCCCCCAGAGACTGCTTCAGCACCTGCAGTGGGGAACCTGTAACTGACCAGTTTTTTTTGTTCTGCTTTCCTCCACAACCCCAGTGCCTGGGGGAGGATGGGAGGAGTCTGCTGTTCTTTGTCTGATTTCTGTGCCCGCTCTTGTAACGCTTTTAAAACAAAATGATTTTTTTATATAAATAAAAATTTTTAAAGTGTGTATTTGAGAAAACAGAGAATGACTCCTGGAACAAATCTTGGACTTGCATCAGATGCAGGCCCTCTTGGGCTTTGGCCTTTTTGGCTGGACCATATAAAGGAGGGAGAGGGATGTCTTTTATTTATTGTATATGTATGATTCCTGTTGGTGTAGTATCTGAGCAAAATGCATAGCTTTTTAACACTGTCCCACCTTCCAGGGATGTTATGAGAAGTGGTGTTCATTCTGCCCGCTTTCTGGTATCTGAAGTCCAGATCCACAAGCACTTGTCACTGCCATGCCTAACTTCTGTGTGCTCAGCTTTTGGAGTTGAAGTCACAGCCAGGCAAGAGCTTACATTTTATTGATGGTATGAATGATCAGTAGTGTGACTAGGCAGACTTGGATGCCAAGGACTGGGGTTCACAAGAGCCAGCAGGGTGAGGGATGCATTTAACCCAACCAATAGGAAATGGTTGAGCTGCCCCCCCTCAAAGCAAATAAAGGACTGGCGCTTCAGAGGGGATCAGCTTTGTCTCTCTCCTCTGGTGAGGCATTGCTAGCCCTTCCCAGCGATGTATTTAGCCAGTTGGTCCTGAGCTTGTACCGGTGGGATTCTTCCATCCTAAGTGCAAGACTTCACACTTTTGTCCTTGTTGAACCTCAAGATTTCCTTTGCTCTAATCCTCCAATTGGTCCAAGTCACTCTGAATCCTAACCCTACCCTCCAACATATCTGCTACTCCCCCAAGCTTGGTGTCTTCCGTAAACTTGCTGAGGGTGTACTCTATCCCATCTTCCAGATCACTGATGAAGGTATTGAACTAAACTGGCCCCAGGACCAGCCCCTGGGGCACTCCACTTGATACTGGCTGCCAGCTAGATCTCAAGCCATTGATCACTACCCATTCAGGCTGATGATCCAGGCCAGCTTCTGTTCCCCTTACAGTCCCATTCATCCAACTCCTACTTTACAGCATTCTTGCAAGCAAGTAAAGTGGGAGAGCATATCAAAAGCCTTGCTAAAGTCAAGGTGTATCATGGCCACTGCTTTTTCTGCATCCACAGAGCCATTCATCTCATAGAAGGCAATCAGGTTGGTGAGGCATGACTTGCCTTTGGTGAATCTATGCTGACTGTTTCTGATGACTTTCTTCTCCAAGTGCTTAACAATGGATTCTCTGAGGACCTGCTACATGATTTTTCTGGGGATGGAGGTGAGGCTTAGTGGTCTGTAGTTCCCTGGATCTTCCTCCTTCCCTTTCTTGAAGATATACACTATATTTACCCTTTTCTGATCATCCAGAACCTTCCTGATTTGCCACAAGTTTGCAGACCAACTGACTGCCATTATCTTTGAAATCTCATCAGTCCCCTCAGCACCCTCGGAAGAATTGCATCTAGCCCCATGAGCTTGTACATGTCTAGCTTTTCTAATAGTCCCTGTCCTGTTGTTTCACCACTGTTGGCTGCTCACCTCTCCAAACTGCTGCCTAGTGCAGTAGTCTGGGAGCTGACCTTTGCCTGTGAAGACTGAAGTGAAAAAGGCATTGAGTACTTCAGCCTTTTCTGCATCATTTGTCACTAGGTTGCCTTCCTCATTTAGTAAATAACACATGCTTTCCCTGACCTTGTTGCTTACATACTTGTAGAAGCCCTTCTTGTTACTTTTAATGTCTTGCTGGCTGCAACTCCAATTGCAGTTTGGCCTTCCTGATTTCATCTCTGTATGCCCGAGACTGGACTGTAGTCCAGTCTCAGTGGGTGGAATAGACAACGATATTGTTGCTGAGGGATCTGAAATGCTGAATCCCCCATGGATTTCACCACCTTGCTGCTCAGGGGAGTACCGTGTCACCAGTGATGCTTAGCTTCACCTCTTCCTTGCTTCATGTGTAGGAAGGAAGCTGCAGTGGTACTAGTGACAAGGCAGGCTATCATCTCCAGCCCTGGTGGAGCAGAAGTCTTTCTTGAGGCACAAAATGAAAAGACTTGACCACTTGGGTCCCTATTAATTGATCTTGTGGTATAATTGTGGGTCAGGTGAGAGTTCCCATCAGTGTGTGATGTAACTTGGATCTGATGTGTTGAGTGGTGCCATGTAATATTGCCTGCTTCTCTGTCCTATGCCACCCTCCTGGACCAAGAAGCCCTGTTACAGTCTCTCTCTGGGAAACGGCCACAATTGTGGCTACCTGTGCCCTGCCCTTATGATGTGGGTGCACTGGTTGTAAACTAGCATTGTTTGATGCTTTTTTTGTCAGGTTTTCAACAGTGCTAGGTGACTTGTTTTTTATTTTTTTAGGAGTTGGAATCACTTTGCTCAAGTGCTTTTGAAAATCCCACTAATCCTTAGTGGTTTAGGCTGCCTTCCCCCAAAGCTCCTGGGTCTCTGTTCGCATGTTGGTTAGTCCTTGGGAATCATATCTCAGGCTGAGCAGGCAACTAAGATGCTGGTGGGTACCACCCAAATGTGATGGCTCTGACCCAGAGCAAAGAAGCACGATTTTCTAATTGTTTGGGTTTTACTCTTTTCAGGAGCAATTGGCACACCCCAGTTGCAATCTTTAGCCTTCAGTGCAACCCGCACTCAATGCTTCTGAGGAAGATGAGACCAAAAAAACCCTGACACTAGCAACAGAATGGGGGGAAAATTCTTTCCTGGCCACCAGTGGCAACCAGGAAAGCCTAGAAGCATGGGAAATGCCAGACATCCTACACTCAGCTCTGCAATGTGGAGACGGCAAGCATAACTCCACATGGAGGCTATGACTGGTGTCTGTGCCCCCGCCCCACCCCCCACACACACTTTTTTTTCTCTCTCTCTCTCACTTTGGGCTTTAGCCATCTCTGAATCTTGTTAGGAATTATTGGCATTTCCAGAACTAAGGCTGCATTGGGATTTCCATGGCATGCCTTAGTTGGACCCACTGATGTCCCTACCACTTTTTAAAAAGGTTTGCAAACCTTTTTCTAATGTTTGGTTAAGTCTTGCGGTTTGGGTGTTTTAGATACCCTGCAACTGGCACCTGTGATGTTGTTGTCAGCAACTGGCCCTTTTGAAATGTCATTTGGTTTATGGGTTTCCTTTCTCTTCATACTTTCAGGAGAGAATGCTATAAGCTTACCCTATGGTGCATGGGTGGGCTGATTACACCCATAGGCAGCATGCTGTGAAAAATCAAAAGTCTTCAACAAAAGGGGGAATAAAGTACCACTGTGATCAGGGATCCTGGTTTTCTCTGACTTGGGATTTTTTTTTTTTCCAGATTTAAAAAAAGTAACTCAAGATCCATGCTTTTCCATGATCGGCGTGAAACACCACTAACATCTATATTTATAGTGGTGTTTCATTTTGATCATGGAAAAATGCGGATTTTAGGTTACTCTTAATCTGAAAATTGGGGACTCTGTTGTTATCAGGAAAAAAACAGGGTCCCTGGTGATCAGACTGACCAATAGATCTGTGAGAGGAGCCACTATATAAAAATAGCAGCCAGATCCTCAGCTGATGTAACTGCAGTAAACCCAGTCTCTGACTTGCACAAAAAATAACTCAATAATAAAAGATGCCTTGATAATGCTTAAATTTAATGTTTGTTGGTTGGTTTGTTTTAAAGTCATACCTTTTTGAAGTTTCTTTGTCTTTGTTTTCTGCTTGCTGACTTCCATGTGGTACTTAAGTCTTGATTTCAAGCTTTTTTTTGTGCAATTGTATAGGCTAGAAAACTATGTAATAGCTGTAGGACTTTTTTGCACAGGAATTGTATACACTGCAAAATCATATAGCTAGACCTGCAGTAGCTTTAAACAAAGCAGCTTGGATGCTGGGAAGTTTGGTCACAGCATCATTAAGATAAAAGATACAGCAGTAAGGTGGGGATTTACTATGGACAGCCAGGTCAGGAGGAAAAGGTGGATGAGGTATTCTTCAAAGGAGATGGTAAATTTTATTCAAAGTTATGAGGTGATACTGATAAGACTTCAGTTCTAGCAGATGCCTGGAAAATAATACAACAAGCAAAAACAAGTTGATCAAATTCTTAACTTGTGTGGAGGACAACTTTTCTATTCCAAGATGACTGAGGATACAACTAGAGGATTGTCCATCTTACCCTGACCAGCAGGTTGGAGATGGGAAGGTGATGGGAACTTGAAAGGAAGTGATTATGATATGATAGAAGTCATAATTATGAGATGGGGAAGTCCATGAAGGCAGTAAAACTATTAGGTTTAAAAGCAGATTTCCTACAGCTTGAAGAGACAGTAGGCATGGTGTGGTAGGGGAACAAACTGAAGGATAAAGAATCCTAGGAGTGCTGAAACTTAAAGGGCATAATATTGGATGCCCAACAAGAAGCTATCCTGACCCAGTGGAAACAGGAATGCCAAGAGACCAGTGTGGCTTCACAAATTGCTTCTGGGCTACCTCAAAAGCAAAAGAAAAGCCTATAGGCAATAGAAAGAAGCTTCCTTGGTGACCTGGCCATACCAGGAAATAGCAAGATCTTGCCATAACAAAATCAGGAAGGCAAAGGTAACAAATGAGCTGCACCTGGTAGGGGAAGTTAATGACAACAAACAGCACAATTAATATGTTGGCCAGAAAAGGAAGGCCAGGGAAGCTGTGGGTTCACTTTAGTAGGCTGCAGGGTATAGAGAAACTGGAGCTTCTCAATAGCTTGTTTGCTTCAGTCTTCACAAAAAAATTTAAGTGTGCAATCAAACAGCAAGGATTATTTGGATAATACAGGAGGCATGTTGAGGTTGAAGATTAATCAAAGATTCTCTGTCTCAATTTGAACGAACTTCAAATCAGCAGTGCCTGCTGAACTGTGTCCCAGGGTAATGACAACCTGGCATAGGGGATCTTGAAGCCCTTGTCTCTAGAGGTGCACCAATACATCAGTCCATATATCAGCACCGATAAAAGGAAAATTGGTATAATCAGCAATTGGCTTTTTTTTGTCTGCTGTGGCTGATTTAATGACACTGATAAATGGCACATGCATGCACACAGC